AGAGTGCGTCCGCATATAACAACTTTTTTTGTTTGTTTTTTCTTAATGGTAGGATCACTATACAGGGTTATTGCAAAGGGTATATACATGGGTATTTATATAGATAATATAGAGAAACAGGTTATTAAATAGGGTATCAAATCTCAAATTGCACATTATACATTGCACAAGTTATTGTCATTGTAGTGTCGCAGAAACTATAATTCATTCTTCTTCTAACCAATGAATGCTGCATACCATAACTCCACTATATAACTTCATGTATGACTTACTAGAAGAAGATCTACATATTCTAAGTATCAATTAATGGTACAATAACATGTTTACTAGTGTTTGTTTAAGGTTGGGTAATAATGTTAGGGTAAGGGGGCAGTGTTAGTTTATCAGTTTACAGATGTCTGCTGATGAAGATTCTCAGTCATCCAGGTCATAGTCATTCCGTAAAAGTTCAAAAAAATATCCACTGGACTTGGTTTCCAAGATTTGAAAACGTTTCGCCACCTCTCCAGGAAGCTTTCTCAATTCAAATGTCTGGGTCCGCAGTGAGTTGCCACAATCTCTCATGCATCCACCATGTCGAAAAGTGACAAGAGGTACCCCCATCATGTTAGCATCTAATGAGCTTCACCAAGCCTCAATTTTTGCTTAGTTGGTAAAGAAACTGCCTTGAGATGTGTTAAAATATGCAAAATTTTCAATTTGCTGTTGCCAAGCTAACAGAACCCAAGGTTTTCCTACCATGTAAACAGCAGTAGGTATCTTTCACTGGCTCCTTTAATGTGCCCAATGTGGCATTTCCTGTGTCCATTTAAAATCTAGTTATTCACCATTCATGCTACAAACTGTGTTTCTGTTACTCCTAAAGGAAAATAAGTATTTGAAGATATTGGTGAAAATCAGTTGCTGAATCCTGATTGGTGCATTACAATTTAAGACTCTGTTCCAGTACAATCAAGCACAGTGCACACCATCTAGCTGCACCCCCAGCATTTTGCAGTGAGCTAGAGAGAAACAAAAAGAGGCGGTTGAAGGAATGAGAACATTTATGACACGTTTGTCACAGCAGCGTCCCAATGAGACACACTCAGCATGTACACAGCTACAGGGCACTTGTGGCATTTCTGCAGAAATTGATGTGCATGGGAATGTGTATTACCTGACAACAAAAAGTAACTTGCAGCTTAGATAAACTTTTTGTCTCATTTAAAATAGCATGTATGTGCATGCACTATGGGACTTTTTACATTTCTATGTCATTATGCTGACAACCTGATAAGAAAAGAATGAGCTTAATGAAGCACTTGGGAATCTTAGCTACCCTGTTGATAATAGAAACTATTGGGGAGTCAACTGAAGTAGGCGTTCTGCCTGCAAAGTTTGTTTGCTCCAGTCTGTGTGGACCTTTTCCACTTTATATGTTAATTTGTGAAATTGTTTACCAGCCAATGTGTATCTAAACACTCGCGAGACTGACTGCATCTGTGTGTAGCGTTGTGCATGTGAGGGGTGTGAAAGATGTCTGCCTGTATGTTTGACTGGAATCCTTTTCTATTCTTGCTGGTTGACAGCCTGTGTCAGAGCTGCCTGCGAAATGATGTTTCCAACTGTGACATCTCTTAGAGAGCGAGGAGGACACAGTCTAGTTCATCCTTTCTCTTTCTCACCGTTTCTCTGGTTGTCCAATTCTCTGTTCTCTTAATAAACACTGACACCCATTCTCCACCACGTCAGCCTCGTCCAGGAAGAGGTCTAAACCTTACTAACCACTGGCAGACAGCTAGCTTTTTTTTTTATATATATATATTTCTATCTCCAATCACATTAATTTATGATAATTTCTTATAATTGCTATTTGGGGTTATTTCTAAGAGTTTAAATGAAAAAAATTAGTCATATTTATTATGACTCATTTCACTGGTCAAAAGTGCACAAAAGCACATATACTACCTGTGGAGGATGAGGAGAGCCCACCTGCCCCCACCCATCCTCACCACATTCTACAGAAGTACCATAGAGAGCAATCTGACCCCCTGTCTCACTGTGTATGATGGAGGCTGCAGCAACGCAGACTGGAAGCAGGTGAGAATTGTAGTGAGAACAGCAGAGAAGATCATCAGGGCTCCTTTTCCCTCCATAGAAGACATTTCATCCCAGTGCTGAGTGTCCCGAGCCCGTAACATTATTAATAACCCCCTCACATCCCCACCATGGACTGTTCTCCCTGCTGCCCTCTGCGAACTGGCTTCGCAGCATCCGATGCAGGGCCAGCAGATTCCGAAACAGCTTCTTCCCCACCCTCTATCAGACCGCTGAATGTTGTTGGCATCATGGTTTTCCTCCCACAATATTTACATCTGATTACTGCTGCACTTTAAGGAATGGAAATGTCATGAGAGCTGTACAAAAAGAAATTTCGCTTTGTTTACACAGAGTGTATACAAAATGATGATAAATGTCTTCCAAGTCTAAGTAATATAGTCAGTACACACATATATTGATGCAAAATACACTCCCACACTGAATCACAAAGACCAAGCAAAGCATGACAAAGAACATTTTGGTTAGCTTCCAAAATGTTTGTTTTTACAGAAAACTACAACTATAAATCAAATAACTAACCATAGCTACATGGCAGTCCCAGAATCATGGTGTTGGGACATGGGAATGAGTATTGTCAGAATTGATGGAGGGCAAGGTTGAAAGAAGAAGGCAGCAAAAGACTAAAAGATTCTACTTCCAGCAGGAAATAGTCAAAAATACATCAAAAGCACAAGAAATGGTTTAGATCAATACATATTCATGTGCTGGAATTACCTTTTTGAAGTTCAACTCTAAATTCATTTAAGAGTCTTTAGGAGGAGCTGAAAATGATATCAGTGGATAATCTACATCTCCTTTGCTCTTTTATAGAGTAAAAAGGCCAACTATTTTAGTTTGAGAAAGAGGCAACAACCTTTGCTAAAAGGCTTCTAGCTCTAATTACTACAAAAAGAGCAACAACGTGCCGACTAAAGACAGTTAATTTAAAATACTTGCCACACTTTTCAGATTTTAGTTGTCAAACACGGTCATAGCCATTTCCCGACTTTTCCCATCTCACAAGTAAGTGCTGGTTTTGAATGACCTTTAAAATATACTGTTGATAAGATACATTTAATAAAACGGTGAAAATGTTCAAAGGTTATGGTTGCTGTTGCTGAATCAGTTAAGCTATAAAAGCTGTCCTTCTGTTGAAATGTAAATCATGATAAAAGTCTTTGGCATTTTACATCATAATAGCTTTAAAAGTTTATGATCAATCGGAATTTGACTGCCGGTATAAAGTTTTTTGTGTTCAGCATCAAAACTGGGAACAGTTTAAGGAAAGTACAAAGATTGCTGATAGAACAGAGAGAATTTGAATTTCTGGGAAGATAAATTAATTCTTTCCTCAGCAATCAAAACCAAGATGCAGCAGTGCCTCTTTGTTTCTGAAACTTCTAAGCTCAGATAATTTTCCTCCTCTCTTTTCAAAAGACAAAGCTGCAAATCATAAAAAAGATTTTTTTTTTTCTCCAAAGTAGATAGGATCTCCGTGAAGATTTAACAAACATTAAACAGAAAAGGCTGACTTTTGTAAAAGAAAACTGTTTATATGCCCATGGGAGATCGAGCTGAGACGCCCAAATTACTCTTCAGGATATAAATTCAATGCTGTGAACTGCACAGCCGACAGGAACAAGTTTGTATAAATGGGAATAAACCTTTAACTCACAGGTTTTTATCTAGATCTTGATTTAGGATATTTAGACAGCATAGGTCTGAGAGAGCAGTGAGAAAATAGACCCACCGTATGAAAGCAAAACTGCTCTTCATCAACTACAGAGACAAGAACCAGGTGGAGAAAAGAAACATTCCTTTTCCTATTTTAGAAGAGCCTGCTTCTCCTAAAGCTGCAATAAATATAAAACAACCATTTTTTCATACTGCTCCACCTCCCATTCTAGTAAGCAAATCCTTTTAGCTGTTTGTTTATTCCCATTATTCAGACACAGTATCTACAAGCATGTTATATGTCCTGCTTCAGATCACTTCGACATGGTTCTTCCTGTTTGGCTTTCCATTTAAACTGATGAAGGAGGAGGGAGACATAACTGAGGAAATTAATGTGCTGGGTCAGGACCCTGTGTTGAGCAATCTTTGGTGTTGACATGCAAAGTCAGAATTTAAAGCCTTTATTTATCCGCTGAAACCTGAGAGACAGCACATGCTGGATTCCATCTCTATCCTGCTTTGCATTACTTTCACAGACTCCTGCTCCCCACACAACAGATTGCATGATTTTAAACTGGGGTATCAAAGCTCCACCACTATTTTAAAGAGCAGCTTCCAAAATATATGGCATGAAAAGCAGCAGCAAAAGTTGTATTAATAAATAAATTAAATTGTGTTTAATATTTACAAAAAAATGTATCTTTATTTGGTATCAATCGGGCTGACAGTTCCAAGACTCTTTATTTTCTTATTTTGGGATAATGGGATATAATGGGATTATCTATTACTGAAAGAGTAAAGAAAATGTACGTTAAGCTACTTAAGAATCTTTACAAGGCCTGTCCTATTATCCACAATCCGTCTGAGGGCTGAGGTTCTATCATGACCTTGGAACCTGTTGGGATCTGGAGGTCTGTCCACTTTCTCCACCAGAGGGCGTACTAGATCTCCTGGAGCCGGAGCTGATTACAACCACCTGTCGCTCATCTGCTCATCAGGAGATCTGTATTTAAGGAGGCAGAGGACTTCTCTCCAGTGCCAGAGTGCTTGCCAGTTACGGTTAGCAAGCCTGAGCCAACCTGCCTGTCTGAATCTCTGACTCCCTGAAAACCAGAACCTGAACCTGATCTGTTTTCTCCTCTCTGCTTCCTAGATTGAACCTGTCTGAAACCTGGAACCCAAAAGAATATCTCTGCCGGTAATCCGCCTGTCTGTTCTCTGAAGAGCCCTGGAAAACTATTCCTGTCAAAGACCTGCCTGCCCGCTCTCTGAGGAAACCGGAAGGGAAACTCTAATCGGTAATCTGCCAACACTCAAACCAAGCTCTGCCTCCGCCTAGCCCTCAGCCTGCCGACAGCCTCTGGACCCTCACGGTTCCCCCCTCAGCCGCTCAGCTCAACTCCTGTACAGGTACAGCCCTGCACACTCTAATCCTGCAAATTACCTGGTCCTCCACTAACTCCTCTGTCCCCCTCTGCAGTGAACCCACTCGTGACCAGTCCTGGACCTGTTAACTCTGTGTGCATTTCAGAATCCACTCGTGACCAGACGAGTTTCCCTTGGGATCTGTTTATTTATTGTATTCCATCTTCTAAATAAACGTTTGAACTTTTATCCTGTCTCGGAGTGTTCTGCATGTGGGTTAGGCACCTGAAGCCAAACATGACAGAACCAGAGGAAAGTATGAAACTAATAAACATCGCAAGGAGGGAGAACTAGAGGGATTTGAGTAAACTAACCCATTCATTTCAAACGATAAAGTACTTTTCACATTAAAGTACTCTAAAGTTAAAAACATTCACAAATTCTCAATTATGTTTACATTTAAATTTTGATCTAATATGTTTAAGATTCAAGCCATCTCTCAAACTCAAGGCTTGGAGCCAGCTATGGCTATTAAACTTGTACTCAAGAGTGCAAAAAGGCCATCATGTCATAGAGGTATGTGTTCATTTTACTGTAAAGTGCATAAAGTTTCTATAACTGTAAAATAAATTGGTTTAAGGTTATTAAACCAGAGTGTACACTCACGTCATTTATACTGCCTCCTTTAAAGGTGTAATGCTGTCCACCAGAGAAATGAATTTGACACCTTTGATCTAAACAATGTGATTTTTAGCGTCCCTGAGACATGATGCAGCCACCACTGTGCTTTTAGATGGTAATAGTGTATGCAAGGAGTGTTAGTTTTCATGTGTCCATGTCCAGTCAAAACCTTAAATAAACATTTCATCTGATAATTTTTGCCTTTGTCCATAAATCTTTAGATTTATGCACAACTGATAACAGATTTTCCCACCTGAGCTGTCAATCTTTAAAGGAATATATCTTTCAAGGTTCAGAGCTTGGGATATATTTCTATAATCTTTATTCATTTTATAAGTTTTTCCCTGATGAGTCTTCTGTGTTATTTATTTTTTTTCAGCTAATATTCTGGAGCCCTGGCTGCCTTCAATTAGAAGCAATAATTACAAATCTAAAAGTATAGAGGGTGAAACCAACCACCCAGCTAGATATTATTTTGGGGTATAAAGAAGGCTAAATAAAAATACCTACTCCAGTCTTTTTTGGTTTTTATTTCTAAAGACAATGTGAAGCCTGCTCTCCTTCGACTTTAAAAAGAGGCGCTCTGTTGAGTTAGTCTGTCCATTAAAATCCTTAGCAAATGTATTTAGGTTTGTGGCTGCAGCTTGGTGAAATATGAAAACATTTAAAGGGTAAAGAACGGTATCTGGAACCTGGTGGAATAAAAGCTAATAAAGGAAGGAAATGGAAAATATTAATTTGTTAAATTGTAGGGTCAGAGAGAAGGACAAGAAAGAGCATAAACCACAGTGATTTAACAAGCCATCCTCTTGTGTATGCATAGCATGTATGCAGCTTTAGCCTCGGTGAGGTCTCCCATGAGGGCACAAGGCTGAATAATACTAGAGGCCAAAGGTTAGCCTCTCCAAGCTCTGCACAATACATATTCAGCCCTTACAGACCTCTGACTGCACTACAGCAAGAGCTTAATTAAAAAGCAACAGTTCCAGTACACTGGGGTCTGGCTAACCTACATCCCCTACTAGCTTTGTCAATGCTGGATATTTGTGCTGAGGGATCTTGGGTGGGACTTAAAAAGCAAAATGAGAAACTGTATAAGTAAGTCTGAACTGCGATGTATACTTGCTGTTTGTAGCCAGCTGTTAGCCAGTAAGTAAAAGAGAATGTGCGACTTATGTGTGTCTGTGACTTGGAAACATGAATTATTCAGAGTCACCCCAGGCGCTGGTATGTGGCAAACCCCTGCCTTGTGTGCACACATCATGCTTGTGTGTGTGTGGGTGGATATGGCCACGGCGTGAGGAAGTCTGAGTGCCTCTCAGACATATGCTGTAGACCTAATCCACTATGACAAACCTCTGACATCATGAACAGCAGGCATGCTGGGCAAATCCACTCATCCATAATAAATGAGTCAGAGGAAGGGAGAAACATGGGGAGAGATGAGGGGAAACTTCAGGAGGAGCAAATAAAAATTCTGAAAAAAAATTGACTCAGCAAGTCTATTTTTGACATGCAGTCTGAGATCGTCATGCCCCACTAAAAATAAAAATGGATACACTGTTTAAAAAGCTTTCTACCTCTCTGCACACACACACATATATTATATATATATATATATATATATATAGCTCCATGCTAATTTTCCTGGAGCTTTGCTAAACAGCCTGGTTTAAAAGGGTACCTCTACTTAAGCAGCCAAGTCCCAACAGAGACTTAGTGTTCTGAAATTTTATTATAAGGGTGCTGCAGTAAGGCTGTGGTCTATACATCGATTTGGGCGCTAAAATCCCATGAGTGCTTGGGGTTGTGGAGGTGGACGAACTGTATGAGCCCCGGAGAGTCTTTTACACACCGTTTGACTTCTACTGCTGATCCATTATTTAACAAAACACCTTTCCGCACATGTAGAGCACACTCACAAAAGCACACACATTACAAAAACTGTTTTGAGCAAGCACACATTTTTCTTAAAATTGAACCTTTCATGTAACAAAAATAACTATGTCATCACACTTTTTGGGATTTCAATTACTGTTTTTGTTAAGTAAAGTGTTTCTGCTATTTAGCACATATATTACATTAGCACATATACAACTTTTGCTTTTACAAGTATTCATACATTGTCAAACTTTTCCTGTTCCTCCTACTTTGTTTAGATTATGTACTGTAGACCAACACAAAATAGAACATAATTTTGAGATATAAGGAAATTCTATATTTAGTTTTTCAAATCTAAAGCTTTGGGCCTGAAAGTATATTGGACAACCTAATCAATATTATAATTTTAAATTAATTAGAATACCTGCCTCAATAAGTTTTTTTTTTCAGTTAATTTTGTTTTTCTTAAGATAACATCATATAAGCTGGTCTTAAACATAATTTTCATATATTTCTGTTTTTAAAATGTTCTTTTTGCTGTATTTATCTTATTCTATCATTTAACCCAAAAAGCTGCCTTTTCGTTTGCCGTTTAAAGAAAATCATCAGATCTAAAATACAGGTTTGAAAGCATTATTTCCTGTGTAGCTAGTCCATAAAGCTACTGAAATGCACCTTTTTTTTAAATAATTTTGTTTTAATATAATCTATTTATTATTTTTTTAATAATATTGATAAAATTTACTTACTATGATAGTATTTATTTGATTCTTGGTATTAACATTTGTTCATATTCCTTTGTAATACAGCAAACTCTGGATTTAAACTGGTTGCAGCTCGAATCTCAGTCCCACTTTACAGCACAAGCGCTCTGACGGGCTCCACTACAAATGCAAAAGGTATTCTAATAAGCATGCTTAGTCCGACCAAAACACCCGGAGAACTTTTCCAAACTCTTTGACTTTTTGCTCATTTACAGACAGATATTTTCTCTTTTTTCTTCTATAATGGGGAGGAAACTCAGTACAGAGAAACTTATTTTTCTGCATTTAATATATGTGTTAAGCATACTCAATAATAATGAACAGCATTGATGTATAAATATAGTTAGCTATTATTATAGTCAGGGCTTCTAGAAAAACTGGTTGCAGGATGGAGAGCATCAGGCAACATCAAATCTCAAATAATTTAAAAGAAAAGACTGACTTTCTGACATGTTAGTATGTTTTAAACCAGCGGTCCCCAACCTTTTTTGCACCACGGACCGCTATATGTCAGACAATATTTTCACGGACCGGCCGGGCGGTGGGGTGGGGGGGGGTGTAGATACGATCGAGTCAAATGATACGACTGGCATAAAATCAAATACAAACAGCATAAAAATAAAACAACAAGCCGGTCCCATCTAGGCGTAATCGAAGAAAATGACAGACAAAGTGTGCTCCTGATGTCCAGTCTGCTTCGTAGCTTTGTTTTGGTCGCTGTAACCGCAGAAAATCCCGCTTCGCAAAGATAGGATGAGTCTTGAACTGAATTAACCTGTGTCAAAAGGCACAGATGCACCGACTGATGTAATTGGGAGAGAATACCGCAATTTTTTATATTTTTCTAAATAAAACATCACTCAGACTCTGTTCGTCGACAAATTATATATATATATATATATCCGCCCGGTGGTTGGGGACCGCTGCTTTAAACCATTAAGTGATGTGCGCGTCATATTGCCGTCGGGTGTGAAGGTTAACCTCTGCCTCAAATGGCTTCATTAATATTCCCATCAACAATGAGCAGCAAAACTGTCCTATACAAAAAAAAACATTCCCAACTAAAAACGTCACCTTCACTTTGTCACACAATGTTTTGCAACATGAAGTTTTCTGCTTTGATTAGAATTTTGCACAGGAACCAAAGGGTTCCCTGGTCTGGATGCTGTCCTTCTTGTTCAATATACTCATCTTTAAAGAGCAGAAACTGATCTTTTATGGAGATGAGTGAAGAACCTGCACTCTGGTGCTTTTAACTTGAACACTGGTTTGAATCAAGGTTGTCTGAGTAAAGTGAACCGATTACAACTGCTACATGGGTAGAACACTGTTTCATATAATTATTGGTTTTAATTGGCTTTTTAACTATGTTGAACTTTGCGGATCACTGCTTAGTTTGTGGTTGAAGTCAGAATAAAAAAAAGGTTTAAGAGATATGAATAATTCATCAAGGTTAAACAAAACAGTACTGCTTTGAAGTAACTATTTTCTCTTACTTTCCTAAAAATCCCCCCTTAAAATACAAAAAAAACTAATATTAATGTAGAATTTACAAATTGGACAAATATTTAGGAATTTCTATCTAAAAACAACCCCTGTCTCTCGTCCTTTCAAACATGGGTTGTTCAGAGTTCAACGATTAATAAAAAATTCAACCAGCACCAAAGAACAACTTGCCATTCGTTTTGACCGGGCATCTCGCAAACCCAGACAACTGGGTTTTCTCCTACAAAGCCCATGTCGTCATGGGAACTGGAGGACGAATGGTCAGACAGGTGGGCCGGAAGCGGTGGTGGCCTATCGTCCTCAATCATCACTGTGTCATCTTGTGGCATGTTGACAGTTGGAGAGAGCTGGAAGTGACCTGACAACGAGACAGAAAAAGGGAAAGATTAAGCAGGAAGCATAAGTTACTTTAAAAGTATGACTTTCAAACTTTCAAAACTGCATCAATATTCAATTCCATGCAGTCAGGGGGGCCTGATAGCACAATATCTGACAAATATGTGATCACGCTGAAGCAACTTGAGACTCAGCCTCCTTCAAAGGCACTGTGTGATAAACATAATAATATCTTACTTTACAAATTGCCGAGATAAAGTATCTAACCAACGGATAACTTCAGACAAGGACGTTAACACTGTGTGACTGCACAATGAACATTTCATATAAGCCTGTTTCAAGGACATTAGCAGAAAAAAAAAATTCAAACAAGTGCTAATCAGGGGAACATTTGCAATGCTAAACACACAGAAAACTGAACCAGCATGTAAAAAGCACAGTTTCCATCAATGCAGATATCAAAGAGACAGAGAAAACAGCAATCTCTAGCTTGTTTTGCCATCATCAGTGAACGACTGGTGAGAAAACGGAAAATGATAACATTTTCAAATCAGTAAACATAACAGACTGAATAACTTTCTTCAGTGTTGCTTTAATGAAGCACTTGAATCAAACTCAAATGCAGGTACAGTAGCAGCCATTTAAAATTGCCCGTTCCAGTCAAACGCCCGCCAAATGGCAGCCCACTCCCCTGCAACTCCCAGCAAAATCCCCTCCATGAACCCAACATATTTTTTTTACTCTGACTCCACCGTTTCACTGAATTACAGGGTCTGACCAGGAGATGATGCTTCCCTTAATATCTTTATGTTTACAAATTATGACAAAAATAATTTTTTGTACAAGATTGATGTTAAAAATAAACTTTTGTAGGATTAAATATCTGATAAAATATAAATGATCAGAAGGGATTTACTGTTTTTACTGCATCAATCATTGAGTGTAAACTAAAGACTGACATATTGGATTCAGGAGTCAAATTTTCTTACCTAAGGGACATTTTTTGAGAAGTTAGTTTGGAAATGTTGACTTCTGTTCAATTTATTTATATTACATTTCAGAAATAGATTGGCGGATACATTGCAAATATATGTTAAGTTAAACATTTTCAAAAAATTTTTAACCCACAAACACGTCCCCAGACAGTAGAAATACATACATAAAAAGTAAGGTTAAAAAAAATTAGATATAACAAATTAATGATGACATCACAGATAACTTAAAAATATGGTAAATCAGTTCTGGGGCTGCTCCAAAGATGGTGTAGAAGGGGTTTAGTTTTATTTCACAGTGCCAAGCTTCAGATATAGTAGAAAATAAATCATGTGTAGATGAATGTAGCAGGTAGACTTCTACACCTGTCACATCCTGGCTCTATTTATTAGGGTAAATATTTCCCAGTTTCCACTTCTGAATATAAATGTAAGACAATGTAGAACCACATTCATCAACTAACTATACATTATTTACATAATGCTTGAGGTTTTTGTCACGATTTGTTTGGAGGTTTTTATGAGGACCCAAATGCAGAGGCTGACAGGCAGGGGTGAGTTCTTAAAAAGTTTAATGGAGATCAAGCAGCAAAAACAGGAATCCAAAAATCCAACTTAAAAATGTTAAACAAAAACAGGTATCCAAAAAATGCGACATAAAAATCAAAAACAAACCAGAACCATGGAGACATCAGGGGAAAATCATCAAGGAGCCAGGGTGAGAAGAGGTAAGACGAAGAACCAGCAAAGAGGGACTGCAGAGGGAGTGTATTTATGGCTGACTGAAAAAAGGTAGTGCTAATGAGCTGATAGGGAGCAGGTGTGACTAGTGCTGATGAGGAAGCCAAGGGAAAAGAACACAAGGGGGCAACAGAGGACAGACAGAAAAACCTAATCAACTTAAATGAATCCAGACACACCAATAAAGCTAGAATATGTTGGCCTGCCAATCCGCCATAAAACAACAGAAGAAGAAGAATAAAGCTAGAAAACAGGGGAAAAACCTGTCTAAACTTGAAACTGAAAACTTAAAGAAAAACAACAGAACCAAGATCGTTACAGTTTTATAGCGTAACCCTAAAAAGAGCAACCAAACCCACACAAAATGTCTTTTTCAAACTCAAAATTACAAGATCAAATGTATAACAGATATGTAAGTCAGTTTTCTAAGCTGTGGAAGAGATATTTTCTTTTTTCAAGATGTTTAAGGATCTGCAGGTTGTTAGAGTGAATGCACAATAAAACATGCTCCGGCTTTGCATACACACTTAATCTGGCCTACATTCCTAACTTAGGCCATTTGCTTCATGTCTGTCCTTCCTCTTTGCCTACTTTTCTGCTCTTTTCAAAAATGCAACTAGTGTCAGACATTTGAATTCTGTTAGCATTGACCATTCAATACAATATGTATACAAAGAGTGGTGCCTTTGGTATGCTAGCATTGTTACTGAGGCTAATTCTGGACGAGATACTTCCTTCCACCATGATATATATATATATATATGTTTTATTTTTTGGGCTTCAAAGATTCAATAAAATTTTGTATTTATAAATGTAAAGACAACAAGAGCTTGACTTCAACTCTATAAACAAAAGGTAACAAAAGTGTTTAAAATTGGTCCTATGTGCAAGAGTTTTACAAATAACAGAGATTAAAAATAGGGATGCACGATATAATTGGCCCTCTATCAGTATCGGCCTGTATCGGCCTTAAAACTGAATATTGGACATCGGCCACCCCACCGATATTTAACCCGATATTTGATCAGCTTCTGAGTTTCTAAAGTCTAAAAAAAAAAAAAAAATACTGCTTCTTCTTCTTCTTCCTCAAAAACTTCTTTTTTACAGACTTAAAAACTTCTAAAGACGAGGGAAAAAATATTGATACATTAAAATATCACAATATCTTCATATGCTGATATATTGCCATTTAAAAACACCACATCAATCTCTTTTACTAATGAAATATTGCTATATGTCATCGTTATGCTACGAAATCCCCCGATAATTCACGAAATTTTGCCATATTTTTATATGTTGATATATTGGCGCGGTATCGATCTATTTTACTAACAAAATCTCACAAGAATTTGCAAAATATCACGAGAGTTTGTAACAGAACAATGAAATTTCACGAGATTTTGAAAGTAAAATAGATCGATACCGCGTTTTTAAAAATCAATTTGATATCAGCATATGAAAATATATTTGAGTATATTATTTTTCAAAGTGTCAGTAATGGATAATAAAACAGCTATTTTCAATGACTACTTATTTTTGTCCAGCTTTAACATCAGTATCGATATCGGTTATCGGCTACATGAGTTTTAAAATATCGGCATATCGGATATCGGCCAAAATCCCAATATCATGCATCCCTAATTAAAAATAGGGTTGAAATTTATTATGGGTATATTTCTCAAAAGAATGCTGGATACAAACATATTAACATTAAAAAGCAGGGTTTTTTTTACCCCTCTCTACCTCTAAACAACCTTCATTCTGACAGCTTATGCATAACCCTGTTTATAACCTGAACAACAGAAACAAATGATTTCTGATTGCATATAAGTGCACCTGCCAAACGGTAGCAGTCACCTGACAACCACAGAAAAATGACATTAAGAGAAGCTTAAGAGACTTGCCATCCAGGGTTAAGTGTGTTATTGTTAAATACAAAACTTTTTAGACATAAGCAGCACCAGCCATTTTTCTTCTCTTCTTCTCCACCAAGGACAAATGCTTAGCAGAGCTTTTCTGATCTGTATTCTGTCCCTTCCGACCCTCCTGCTGAGGACATTCAGAATTGCTCCTTTGCTGCTCCTCAGGAGTCAAAGTCAATGGGGAATGTTCTGGCACTCAGCACCAAGGGCAGCGGAAGAGCTGCTCAGCTGCATAAGAAGTGGAATTTACAATGCTTGGTTGGACGATTCACTCAGTGTATGACACACGCATCAGCCCAAAGTCAAGACCCATTACCAGATCACCTGCTTACCATTAGGGAAGGCTTTTCTGAACTTCCTGTGGTCTTTGCTTTTGTTTCCATTATAAAAAGAGTCATTTCCTAAATGTAATAGCTTTGGAACAATCGTCCTTAATCACTTACAGCAGACAACAATATTTACCCTGGCATGATTCCAACATGAGAGACTTCTTAATTTGACACGGGCCCTGCACATGATAAATGCACACTGTGGAAGAAAATCTGAGCAGCAATCAGCACAGCAGTGAAATATATGGTTCGGTCTCAGGATTCGTTCAAGCAAAACAAAAAAATATTTTAAAAAAACATGGATGGGCAGAACAGAGTGCAAACATGTCGCAGACTTTGTGTGTAAAAAAAATCAATTGGAAAAAGAGGACTAATTAAAGTCATCAGTCATACAAATGAGTGCTCTGGTAATCACTGTGTCTTAAATGCATGTTCTGTGTCACAGGCTGAGCGTTCAGACTTCTGGGTAAATAACATGAAAAATATAGGATGTTAAGTTTGGTGTATGATGCTTTATAAGATCTTTTACAGTGGCAAAGAAAATAACTGCATTTAGAATTGCTAACATTTTACTCATACTGTCTAAAAAAAGCTTGTTAACTTACTTATATATAATATAATCAGGGATTTTATATGTAGTGACCTGGGAAACAGTCCCTGAATAGTTAGAAAAATACAGTATATAAAAGCAAATTCATAGTCTTCATGCGGTATAGCACACATTATTAGCAGTATAACAAGAACACATTGATATTGAATTAAATCCAATGTTAATGTAGAACCCATTAATCTGCATGTATGATGAATAGTTTTCTAAAAATTTATCATATCTATTATGTTTACTGCAGCATTTATTCTCATGATTGTCTGATGGATAAAGGATCAGTGCTGGAGTGTTTGGCTAAGCCTACACTTGAAAAACGTGTGTCACACTGCTACACTGCAAAAACGATCTAGAAATAAGTAAAAATGTCTTAAATTAAGTGTATTTACCCTTGATATGAGTAGGTAAATGAGATAGTTTGCCAATGGAATCAG